CCCTTCTTGGGCAGCAGGGTCAGCACCGCTCGGCGGCAACTGATCGGCAAGACCTTGTCGGCGAGGCTCTCCTGGAAAACGCGCAGGAGGCTGGGGCCGAGGAGAGGCCAGAAGGTCTTGTAAAGCTCAGCAGGCAGCCCGTCGAGGCCCGGGGCTTTGCCGGAGGCGAGGCTGGCCGTGGCGGCCGCCAGCTCTTCCAGGGACAAGTCCCGCTCAAGCTCGCTGGCCTCCAGGGCATCGAGATGCGGTAGGCCCTCGTGGAGTTCCTGCGTGGCCTCAGGGCACGACGGCTCGGCCGTGAACAGGTCGCGATAGAAGGCGACGGCACGTTCACGTATTTCGCCCGGCTCTGTAATGACCCGGCCCTCCGGAGTCTTGAGATGATCCAAGACCTTGCTCGCTGCCCTCCGCCGCTCCAGGTTGAAAAAGAAGCGGGTCGGGGGGGAAAGAAAGAAAGAGCACAGATTTGTCTATCTATCCAGTCCAGGAAGACAGTGGAAGGGAATCTGAAGACAGGGCAAAAAAGGGAAGAAACACAAAGCCCTCAGCCCTGGGATGCGAAAAGAGGATACACAGGACTCCTAAAATGGGAAAGAAAGAATGTGGAGGGGGAGAGGAGGGTGAAATGGTACAGCATTCCAACAACAAGTTCACCACTGCTATGCACAGAGATAACACCATCTTATTGCTCCTGCCTATTCAGATTCTTCTATTCATATATTGTATCACAACATTAGCAGTTAGCCATGCTATTCTGGCCCTTACTAGCTTGCTTCTATTAGGAAGAGATATTGAATCAAGTATTTCTTTAGTACAATCAGTATGGCCAATCCCAATGGTTTAAAAATCCTGAATTGGACCCTTCCAAGCCATGAATCTAGTGATAAACATATGCTACTTTGTAATTTTTGCCATCTGTTTTTTTGATTTTTGAATTCCCTCTGCTTCCTCTCTCCAATTCTCACAACTGTGCAAAACGACATGATTTTGGCACATGGTAAAGAAATTTTTGCTCCCACAATATTTACCCTAAATACCAAGTCAGTCCCATTCTCTATCCCACCCTATATTTTTCTGTCCCCCAAGCTCCCCTATGCCCCTCCTGCATCTCTGGGGTTCTTCACTCCCCTGGTGTTCCAGCAGCAGGAACATCAGTGTATCTTTCCATCTTCCTCAGACTGGAGCACAGCAGTTGCAGTGGTTCTCATCATTCCCTCAGCCCTATCCCAGTCTGGGAAGCAGAAGGGATCAGAGAAAAACAGAGGAGCTATCCCTGTTGCTTGTTATATATATATATATATATATATATATATATATATCAAG